AATCTTAAAAAAAAAAAAAGAATTTCAGTTAAGTAAAATGAACAAGCTCTAGAATCTGCTATATGGCATAGTCAACAATACTGCAGTGTACACTTATAAATTTGTTGAGTAAGGAGATTGCAAGTGTTTTTATTACATTAAAATATTTTTAATTACACACATAGCTGGAAAAATTACTAACAAGTTAAATATGTATGATTCTCTGAGCATTTATATATGTTAATTTCTCATTTTTTTTTTTTGACAGAGTATCTATAACATGTCAGAGGCCAACTAGGTGCTGAGGATACTAAAACATATCTAAAATGGTCCCTGCCCGCCAACAGTTTCCCAGGATTCCTCAGGATTCTGGGAGAAAAACCGAATGCAGGCAGAGTATATGCATCCTCCCAGGCTTAAAAGTGGACTCAAACTAAAAGGAGACTGCTGAGGAAAGCACAGTCACTTTCCAGCTGGACTCAGTTGAGAACGTCATGAAAGTCAAGGTAGAATTGACAATAAGGACACTGGGAAATAGAATTGAAAATAGAGAGAATGAGGACAGGAAGGAGAGGAATAATTGAGAAACTTGGAGGTAAAACCTAGAACATCTCACAGTGGATTTATCTTAAATATAAGGAGGAGATAGAAAGCAAGAGAAGAACAGATGAGAATAGAAGTAGGTGACTTGATAATGAAGGATCTCCTACCCAGATCCCCTAGGTGGCTTTTGATATCCCCAGCAGCCTCTCAGAAAAGATCGTTAATGAGCCGGTCCTATCTTTGGTGAGTTTGATCCTTGGACTTTGTTGGAAGCATGCGTCTCTGTGGACTGGAAGTCAGAGGTAGGACAGATGGGCCACCTCACACAAAGATCTGGAAGGAGGGAGAGAAATTTTTCCCCAGCCATGACCTTCATATTTCTTATCTATGTATTCCAGGAAGGGTAAACCATGCATAATTCTTTTTAAAAAATGCTGACTTTGAATCAGGAAGAAATGATTAGTTGGCCATAGTAACACAGTCATTACCAGAAAAATGACTATTTTCTAAAACTTCTAATGTTATGTAGTTTTATAAATTCCACATCTAGATTATGCATACTTTTCTCTATGCTATCTTTAGTAATTCCTAGAAGAGACATTTTTGGAAGTGCACCTCATGTTTTGTCAATTTTATTTCATTAAATGTCATTTTAAAAAGCAACATCAATGCCAATCCTTACTTCACATCCCAAAATGTAATACTCTAATTACATATTTTTCAAAAATATAGTCCTTTTCATTCTCTTACCAAGACAACTTCAGCTACTTGGTTATGCTAAAAGGCCAAGAAGTTGTCTCTCTCTTTCAACTTCCAAACTCAGATTTAACCTTTTAAAGAGAGGCATCTGAGACAAGTGACACCAAGGATTTTATTAATATGCTCCCAACCTCTTAGGCTCTCCCTCACTTTGAGACTTCAATAATTAACACAATTTTGACAATGGTTGTTTGGCCAAGGTTTTTAATAGAGGCTGGGCAGTGACCTTTTGGCCAGAAGTCTGCAAAAAAGGAGACTGGTGAGAGCAGGCTCATCAGAGCCCCCAGACATCCTTGTAGAAAATCTCTCTCCCCAAGGAATTTGGTCCGTGCCCTTGAGCATTCCAAAGTCTGCAACTTTCCGTGGGTACATATGGCCCATTGACAGTTAGCAGCTGTCAAGCGGACAGGCCGTGTACACCCAGCTGGTCAATTGAGGCCACGTCTAGACAAAATGAATGGATACAGCTCATCAGTTCTATTTGGCCATCCCAGCAATTGATGCAGATCAGCCTGGGGCTCATTGCAACTGCAGAGAGGAGTGTGAGAGTTGGAACTCATCAGAGCAGACAGCCATGCCACAGCCCCGACTACCCCGGCTGAGCTCCTCACACGCTCTGAGGACAAAGGGAAGACCTGCTCCAGAACTAGTGCTGCCCACCTTCCATCTAATCAGTGCTTCATCTTGATTTCAAATCTCTACCACCAAATAGTCCATCTCAAGGAGCAGTTTCTAAAATTACCTTCTGGGCAACTTGTCTAGTAGAAGAAACTAACTCAGGCCTCCAAAGTCAAGAATCTCTCTTGTTATTAGAGATAGACCATAGCAGGAAAGGAATATTTAAAAAGTCAAAAAAGTAGTTAGTGAGTTTCCCTTCAGCTGCCATCACATATATTGAAGGAAAAAAACAAAATTGCAGTAGGTAGATGTCACAAATGCAAGATGTAACAGAACTGACCATTCCACCCTCAGCCTACACTTCACAATATTAAAAAAAAAAAATCTTTTGAACAATTTAAAAAACCACCACAAAATCCTCTCTCAGGAATAAAACATCTCTCTGCATCCTTACCAGCAATTCTAGTGGTAAGCAAGCCTTTGTTACTGGTAAAGAAAATTGGTTATCAAAATAGTTTTGGCGTGCTTCAAAAGGAAAAAAAAAAGGAGACACCAGTCACAAAATCTGCTCAACGAAGCAAAGTTGTATGGCATCCAACAACTCCAGGGCTGATGCGCTGAGCTCCAAGCTGCTCACCAAACATGTGGCCCCATGCAGAAATATGCCAAAACAACACAGTTTGGGCTCATTGTATCCCAATTAATACTATAATGAGCTTCCTTAGATAGCCAAATCCTTAATCAGCACTATCAAAACTATGTCTGCTCAGGAAAAGACTCATGTTAATTCTGCTTAATGCCTGACAGTGGTTAAGCACCATTAATACTCCATAATTTCATTGTATGTTATTGTAATCATATCAGCATATATCTCAGTGGCTACGCAAGCTCAATAGGCTGCCGTGAATTACAGGTCATGTGACTCTGCTTCAGTAAGAGCCTATCTTCCATCACAGCCAGACCTCCTCTGCCCTCCCCACAGTCAGTAGCCTAAGCAGGTATTAATAAAGGTCTCCTTTTTTAAATTGCACAGCTCTAAATGGTCTTTAAGGGACCCAGCAGTAATCTCAAGATCCCTATATTTTAGCAGGAAAGCAGGACAGAGGAATTAATAAGAGCCCTTTCTGTGTAAACTGCTCCCTGCTCTAAGGCTATAGCGTGATGTCAGGGCGCTAAGAGAATTTTAAATGCACAGGATGGATTGTTTGTGTTGCAAAAGCGAAACAGGGGGCAAAGGCTAAGAGACTTGAGAAAATTGAAAGACTGCCAGGGATGCTGGGATGCAAATAGCAACAAAACAGGGATAAATGCTCCTGCTCACATATGCAGGAGTCCTGCAGAAGGGGGGAAAAAAAGGTTATTAATTTTCACCAGGCTGTATCTTACAGCTGGTGGCTCAGCATCAGTTTTTGGTGTAATGAAAATGGTCTGAGCAGAAGATAAATGGTTCATAAAGTGGACCATTTAGATGCAATCGAGGCTCAATCTGCCCAGTGACTAATCACGTCCCCCCAGTAAAGCTGAATTCCACTAACAGACTTTTTTTTCCCCGGCTGTACCAGTGAATTGTAGCCGGGTCTAAGTTCAAGGCAGGCAGAGAATTATCTTGATTTATTAGCGCACTCCCTGGCCGTGCCACTCGCTCGGCTGTGCCTTTGTGGGCTTCTGCCCTGTTGCTGTCGGAGTGTAATTTTTACTGTTCCCCTGTGACTAGTACACAGCATCATTTTCAGCTGCTAGAAAAATGGGCTGCTTTTGCACCTGTAATTTTTCTTCTTTTGCTGCTGAAGGTATATAATATATCTCTAAAGTGCGTAATAAGTTTCTGAAAAACGTGTTTTTAAAAGAAATTGATTCCAGTGGTTTATAAGCCCAAGCAAGGCCACATAAGGAAATGGGCCAGATTGCAAAGGTATGCCTGGTTGGCAAGGCAGCCATTTTCCCCCCTCCATTTAGTAAATCCTGACTTCTAGTCCAGAGTATAATTTCAGACATTTTTTTCTATACAGTAGTAGCTTCTCATAATGAACTCTGATCAAATAAAAATGTTGTTTATATTGAGACTTTACAAGTCCTGATTACGTATAAACGAGAGTAGAATCCCTCATAATGACATTTAATTGTGAGAAAGAAAAGATTCCAATAGAAGAGCATTCAGCTGCATTTGTTCAATGTTCCTTTGCATAATGCCGTTTATAGATAGTTCAATTATGACATTATTATGAGCTACATAAGAGTAGCTCACTGGTTCCCCATATTTTTAGACCTATGGAAAATAAACTTGAGTGTGATTTTCATTATTTTGACTGGAAACTATTCACAAAAGGGCCTCCGTTTTCATGAGGACTGACTGTACCCATTTGGCTAATGATTTCTGACACATCACCCACAGTCTTGTGAGCTTATTCAGAAGGGGAACCCAGGCACTAAGGACACTAAAAGAAACCACATCTCCTCCTCTTTGAGGCACCAATGAGTCTAACTGAACATTATTAATAATCTAACAAAGAGCAGGGGGAGGGAGTCACAGCTGGTTTATTCTGGGCCCTGTAAGGTTATTTTTGCACTTTCTGAAGGACTTCACAGCCATAACAGGTAAACTGGAAGGCAATAAGCAGGGAAAACACTGCTTAAAACCTCAGCAATCAAACATCTTTTTAAAAAGTAGCCCTGGTTCTCAGATGCCTGCATCAGTAGTTTCATTCCTTAAATGACAGCAGTTTTCTGAAAACTGCAGAAGGTGTAGATTCATTACTTTCCGAGCAGCCTCTCAGACCTGCATCTATCTGTTTTCACCTGTCTTCTTCCTTTTTCCATAGAACTTTGATCAATGCAGCCATGACCTGGCTTTTGCAGTAAAACAAATGGGCCTGTGTGGTGCTGACCACGCCTGTGGTTTGGCAGCAGAAAAGGTGAGGAAGCACAGCAGTCATCCTTTGCAGCCAAATGTACCAGAGAACACGTCTGTAATGACACAACCGTGACAACCAATGCTTTCTGTCATTTGTGTAACAAACATTCACTGCGTACTTAATATGTGTCAAATAATGTGAGAGGTTTGCAGAACATAGAGATGAATGAGACAGAGACCTCTTCTCAAAACTGTGTGATCTGCAATGACTACAGACTAAAGGAATGAGTGACTGGCTAGATGTCAGCTGATGTCCAGGTGATGCTCAATCAATCTGAAAGAATAAGACCAAGGGTCAGTAACTCCTGTTGCTAGTCAGAACTACCCTGGATCAGTGTGGTTTTGGGGAAGTCACTTAACTTCTTTGTTGCTTGGTCCCATAACTGCAAAATGAGGATTGGAATCTCTGGCCCATTGATCACTCAGAATCATTTTAGGAATGAATGAGACAGCATCTGTGCAATGACATTGATGTACCGTAAGAATGTAAGGAATTATCACTATGCCCTGAAAGGTCAAGAACAGTGGTGGAGTTATGAACACCAAGGGTGCCTGGTTGAAGGGAGAAAACTATGTCAAATACAATCTACTTTTGGCTCACCAAGCCATTTGATTGGGCAGGGAACTGAGTCATCCCTGGGGAAAGGGGCACATTTTCCTAATTTGCACAAATGCACCAAATGGGCTAGCAGCAGTGTGTGCAAATGTGCAAAGTATGTCAAAACAGCTCTTGGAACCATTCCATTGCTGAGAATTTCCATAAACTCTAAGTGCTTGAGCCTTTACTTGTTTCTGTTACATTCTTACATTGGCCTTTGATACCAAATTATAATATCTTAGAAAACTACATCTTGGTTAAGGAACATAATTTTAACATTGTTATTAAGCCCATAAAAAACAGAGCTTTACTTTTTAATTCACAAGAATATAAATATGGATGGGATGAGAAATTTTTCATATATTTAAGTATAGATTACACAGTAGGTAGATCCTTGATTGAACTGCTCTGTTGAGAGTTAAAGCAACCCCATGTGATCTCAACACAGCACCCTTTCAATTTGGGAACAGCATGATCTTCTACGTATTCTAAACCCTCCTCAGTCAAACAGTCCCACCTCTATCACTGAGTTGGTCCTCATCCACCTTGTTACCCTCATATCACTCATAAATACTGAAATTTTATGAGTTGTTTTGTTTGCTTCTTTATTTTCTATTTTCCCATTTAGGGAAACTTGAGCAAGACATGAACCTCAGTTTACACATCTGTCAAATAGAGATATTAACACCCTTCAGGACCATGAAAAGATAATGAAGGGAAAGAATCTGACAAAGGCTAGGATGAGTTTTTCACAGGACTAGCCCAAAGATCCCAAGAACACCTGAGTCATACCTGCCCAAAACATAGCCACTCATCCACACAAAGTCCCTGAAGAGCACTTACCATCTAGTGACAGAGGCAAATGAAATAAGTAACCCTTCTTCCATGAGACTGGACTGGCAACGGTGCCCACAGCCAGTCTGTCAGTCTAATCTGCTTCCAAGAGAGCAGTAAATAGATGAGGCTGAACCAGGGGTGTGTGTGTGTGTGTGTGTGTGTAGGAGTGAGGGGTTATTGGAAGGGGGTAGAGTAATCATTCTATAGCCAGCAGGAAAGGAAGAACAGAGCACCAGAGAGAGAGGTGAATCCACGGGTCTGAACTTAAACTTATAGTGGACTTACACACTACAAAAAACACATTCTGCAAAAATAATAGGAGTTGTGGGTGAGTGAGTGAGGGAGTTAGTGAGTGAGTGCATGAAGGTTAGCAGCTCAAGTGGGCAGTGAATACTTCATCATGCACACATTATCTAGTAGGTGTCAAGTAGTTGACACCTACAAGCTAATTAGAACTGTACAGTGAGAGCCTGATGATGTCATAATAGAACATTTTCCAAATGGACTACTTTTGAGTGATCAAAATGAGGGTGACTTTTAGGGTTGCATATATGAGCATATAGATTGTGGTACTCATGAAGGTGCCTCTCAGCACTGTAGTTTATCCAATGCCTTATTCAACTTGGGTTGTTATAACAAAAGACCATAGACTGGCTAACTGAAATAGGAAACATTTATTTCTACAGTTCTGGAACTAAAGGTGTTGGCAGAGTCACTTTCTAGAGAGTAACTTCTTCCTAGTGTGCACACAGCCATCTTTTCATATCCTCACATGGTGGAAATAGTTCATCTTTCTCAAGTCTCTTCTTATAGTCACTAATTCCATTCATAGGGCTCCACACTTGTGACCTAATCACCTTCCAAAGGCCTCCCCTTCTAATACCATCGCATTGGGGGTTAGGTTACAACACATGAATTTTGGAGGGGACACAAACATTCAGTCCATAGTATCCAACCTGGGATGTTTTGTTTTGGTCTTATAGTTGGCAGTAATAAATGGTAAAGTTACACTAGCTCAGAATGTCTATACCAGTTCTTTCAAAATAACATGCAGAAAAGAGAAAGGCATAGGGGCTTTTGGCTTACATTTATGTGGAAAGACAAGTACTTATTATTTCTACCATCAAAGTCTTAAATGGCTCACTAGTTCTGTGTTGCAAATAAAATCATCACTTCTTGCTATAAGTTATCAGCTTGTCTCTGAAAACACTTGGATTAATCTAGATCTTCTTGTCTCCAAGTTAAAATAATCATGACAACTGGGTAAAATATTTACCAATAAAAAGCCGAATCCAAATACTCTAGAAAACTCACTGAGCAAATTTTACAAGCCAGTGGCAATTGGGCACAAGATCTTCATAAAGATAATGTCTTCTTATGTCATAAATGTTGGAAGCTAGGCTGGCAAGCTGGGTGTCAGAACAATAGTAAAAATTCACATTGACAAAGGCTGCCCTGCTGGCTTTTTACAAATTCAGGGGTTCTGTACATTTCTGTGAACCTCTTTACATGTACTGGTGACATAGTATATTTGTCCTAACAGTCCTGGTGTGGTGAAGGGGAGGGAATGTGGGGTGGACAGAAAGGGAAGGGAGGGCTGGGGGTGGGCAGCACGTATTCACGCTGGGACACAAGTATGCTAATAAGCTAATTATCTATTGATTAGACAACTAAAGATGATTTTTAAAGCCCAATTGGCCACAGATTATTGACTTTGCCCCCTGCACTTAGGAAAAATATTCTACCTGTGGAAAATTACATTAGCTATAATAACAAGAAATAATTAGCATCATTCCAAAACCTGATATCTCAATTTTGTCTTTTCATACTGTCATGTCCGGTCATATTTACCATCATGTTCTTAAAAATTGATCTGTTTGTAGTTTCCTTTTTTTTTTCCAGCTTGGAAAATGTCATGATTTAGTCAAAGGCTTATGGTCTCCATTCTCTCCTTATCTTGGAAAAAAGATTAAAAGTAGGAAGTAATTGAAAAATCTATCAGGAATTTAGTCAAACTCCAGTTTTCAGTTTTGAACTGTTTCAGAAGCTGGCTGGAACTGGCAAGGACAAGCAGAGGTTATGGAAGCAAGAAGACCTGGAAGTTTAGTGACAGGTGCCACCACTACAAGAAACCCCTGGAAGTGAGCACTCTGAGGAGGTAATAATACTCAAAACTACTTCTACTCCACCTTCCCCCAAGACGGGCTTGGTAGGGAAGGGAGGACTTGGGCAGAATCTTACCTGACAGCTGTGCTTTCTTTCTCCTCCTTGTGCTCCATCTCGGACCAGGTGCTCCACGGGAAACCTGACCAACATGTTCAGGAACCATGGTGGCGCTCAGTCCCTAGGAGTCCTTTGGGATGTAGTTTTTTCCTAAAGCCACAAAATAAAAAATAGAACTTGGTCAGATATCTTGTTCTACTGAGCTTTCCAAATCACTGATATAGCCCATAACCTGCACGTGATTTTCAACCTCATGTGCAAGAAAAGCTTAAGGTTAAAAAAAAAAGTCATTGTGTGTGATCTGTGTTCATATCGCAAACACCAAACATCTAATATAATCAGACATTTAAAAGTAACTTAACGTTGTATATACATGTTGATTCTCAATAGGGTACACCTGAAACTTATATAATATTATAATGCCAAGTTACTTCCACACACACACAAAAAGTTAAAAATAAAATATCTGGATATCATAGGCACAGCAAACCCTGAGATGGGGGCCACCCTTAGACATACTTCTGGATTTAAGATTGCATTTCTTACTCACTAATTGTCTAATTGGAGACTTGAAGTCCACAGTGTCCAGGACAAGTTTTATTCAAACCAAGGCATTGAAGTGATATGTGGGAAGACAGTGAGAATGAAAAAAGTAAAAACTCTGAATCTTTGAGTTGTAATGATTTAATTGACTATTTTTTATGAACCCAGTTTCTATAATCTCCTAAGGAAATATAGTCATGGGACTCCAAGTTGCATACCTAAGCACTTGCAAATGCCAATTCCTGCAAAATTGGCAACAAGGAAAAACAGAGAAGTCCTCTTGTCACTATGTGATTCTTCAGGAAGAAAAATTTATGAAATATTGACATGATATTCTAGCAACCAATGCAGGCTACTCTTTCAAGAGAATATTTTACCTAAGCACTGTCAAAATAGGAACTGCCTGCATCGGATCAACTTTCTTTATAAGGGTAAAGGACACTGAAGTATTAAAACAGAAGGCTTAAATTTCCAGTGCAGTGGTGAACACTCAGGAAAAGTCATACTTCTAGCTTTGAGGTTTAAAATCATGGTGCAAACAACTGATGGGTCCCTTTGATCAACAGATCTTTATTGAGCACATACTTCATCCCAGTCACTATCCCAAGTAAACAAAACAGACAAAAATCCCTGCCTTCATGGAGCAAAAAACAAAAGCTAATTGATTTTCTTCCCGTTAACATTTTTTTACTGTTATTATAATTTGGGGGTTAAATTTTTCTTGCTCCATATGTGCACATGTTCCATCCTCCACCAACAAAGAGTCCGTAGTTCCAGTATCCCCACCAAATTTATAACCAGTACAACCCAACTCCTTTTTGGTGCAGTGTTAACTCTAGATTTTCTGACAATTAAAGGCACTTTCCTATGTATTTTGTGTGGTGATAAAAAAGGGCAGTAGTGGCTTAACACTGTTCTTCTGTTCCTTCAAAGCTGAGATTGTCAGTCAGTGAACTAGTGAAAATCCTGAATGCTGTGTTTGGAAGTGAATTCAGCCAAACCAACCATGACCAGTTTCCAGAAATGAGGTGTACAGGTTCACAACCCTTCAGTCCATCCTTAGATGAGTACCAGCTCTGAGGGGGACATCTCTCCCTCTGTGTATTCAACTTGAGGCCACCCACTCATCTCCACAAACCAAGCTCCCACAATGGTGGAAAGTAAACCTTGAAGGGCTTTGCAGATTTCCGTTGGATGCCAGCCAGCCATTCAGAGGTGAAACTAGTCTAGCCTGGGACCAACCACCCAGCTACCCAATTCCCCACGCAGTAAGACGACTTGCTGAGTTCCTCTTTTCCACCTTTATTTTTCATTTATCTTTATCAGCAGAGTTCTGGAGAAGCTAATTGCTGTTATTTCCATTTTGAACAGGCTAATGGGAGAAGAAAGCTATTTCTCCCCTCTCTGAATTTACAAAATAATAATAACAATAACAATAAAAGCTCATATTGATAAGGGAAACATAACTCGGTCTTTTGCCTTAACAAAATTTGCTTCTATTAAAACAGAATATGTAGCATAGCTCCTTGATTACTTTGGTATGTTGAATTCACCAGCATAAATAAACCTACTGCTTTTGAGCTGGGAAGCCTGCTATTTTAAAGATGAAAAAATTTCAGCTTCTGGATGGCTGCTTTCATTTAACACAGCTTCAATGAATTTATGAACTGTTCTATAATGTTTTCTGCATACACCAAATGGCAGACTTTAGGCAGAAACCCAATATATGTTTAGCTAGTATATAATAAACATAATATTTACATGGGCTATGCACTGTGTTAAGAATCAAAAGTGGTTGCTCTATAAACTGTTATTGAATTCTCTCACACAGAGCCCTAAACCAAGTGGTCCATCAAGATTCCAGAAGAATTTTTGAGAAGAAAGCCTGACCCAATCCAAGTATGCAGATGCATGTGTGCAGGCTGGCACACGCATGTGGGCATGCAAACCTATGTCTCCTTCATTTATGAAAAAAAAATCTCTTTAATCAGAATCTTGACAATAATCTCATTTTCTTTGGCCTCTAGGATAACAATGTAGTCTAAGATTTTTTTTTTTTTTCACTTTAAAGGCATCTCTGTGGTTTAGAAGACTATTTCAGGAGCTAAAAAATAAATTTTCTTAAATCCCAGTAGATAGAGAAGTCAGTTCATTTCTTAAGCAATAAACAGAAAGGGGGGAGGGGTGCTGAATAAGCATGTTTATATGGAATTTTTCTTTGAAAAGCCCACTAGTTAGGCACTATAACACTTCAGTTGATATTTCTACAGTGCAAACACGATAGTGGAAATTAAGTTGTCCCAGCAAATTCAGTTTAGTGGAAATGTGTTATGAATAAATGCTGCTGTTGGCTCTAGAACATTGAATTTATCCACCAAATAATATCTCAGAAATACCACTTCAGAAGAAATCACCTCTAAATAATTGATAAATTTGGTTTGTTTAGAAACCTTTTGACCTCTGTAATAGAAAGTAAAAACACATTTCAGTTATTAAAGTCACATATATTCCCTCTGGTAGGGAGAGCTTTTAATTTTAAGCCAGGCTCTGTAGGGGCCATTTGATAAAGCTTAGAGAAATTTTTCAACTGCTGCTGTTAGATTTGGGTCAGCCTCCTCTGGGGAAAATGGAAAAAGATAAATTTGTAGCTT